GCTTCAGGACCTCAGTTTTTGAGATCGATTGCATTTCAGCCTTGTCTTCGTTGCTATCGCTTGCATTCTGATCCATCAGACTGACGCACAGTGGTACTCCGGAGTGGGATATGCCGGATACCCTGCCTATACCGGATACGCCTCGTACTACCCAAGCTATGCTGGCTACTACGGTGGACTGTACAGCGGCCTTGGCTTGAGCTATCCCTCATATGGATACTACGGATGGGGAAGCAACAAGGTAAATCAGCAGCTGTTTCTTTTAGAACTTTCAGGTGCATTGCCATAAGTAGACATGAACCGTATGGGAAACTTCTGCATTTCAGGGAGGAGCTCCAGAAGCCCCTGTCGTTGCTGGCTCCCTCACCAACAACCTCCGACAGTAACTACTGTCACTATCAAATCTCATCCTCCTGCCACGTTCTGCCATTTCTGTTCATATCAAACGAAATAAAAGATTTCTACGAAAGATTTTTTATCAAATCCCAACTGAGCCTTCGAACTGAAAACCTCAGAACTGGTTGGATATTAATTGGTTCTTCCAAGGTTTAAAACGCTCTTTGCAGAAGCGTTCAGATACTCAGATGAACTACATATAGTGACTTTCAGAGGCGAAGTTCAATAACGATAATCGCAGGGCACACCAAGGCAAAAACCAGTGGCCCCAGCAGGACCGCCATCTACGCCTCTGATAGCCTCATCACCTTCAATTTAGTAGAAATACTTGTCGCGCGGAGGGAGGTGTTTCAGGATCTGAACCCCATTCCAAATGTTCCAGACTCTCCTTTGGCAGTGATCTCAACAACTTTTCCCTCCCCTCCCCCCCTAAGCAAACTGAATGCGGCTCTGGTCTCTGGTTGAGTATTAGTTGTGCATAATACAGTATACCCAATAGAAAGTGGAAAAGGGGACAGCAAAATTTCAAGTATAGAATGAAGAAGACGAAATAGAAGTGCACAGCCAGAAATTGGTAAACTAGAGGGATCTACAAAGGGAGTAGAGTAGAAAGAAAGAGATACTAGAAAAGAACTTTACTTCAACGGGAACATTGCCATATTACCCGCGGAAAAAAAGAAGAATGCCTCTTTGAAAGTGCTTGATGACATCCATGACACGCTCGCAGACGGTTCTACTGCTCTTACAATTAGAAAACTTGTATCGCTCAAGTCAAGTGATGTGTAACCTTTTGAAAAGCAAGGACCGGTTACGCAGCAGAAAAAGCTACACTTCAAGACTATCATCAGTTTTAGCTAGAGAAACAAAACCTCTGAATGGGACTTTCCCGTCATATTGGCCAACGCAACCCAAAAAAGTTAAGATCGTAAGGACTGCCTAACCAGAGAGGCACTGAGTCCCAGAGGGAAGCCACCGTTATCTTCCCACAAAAACTGGCACCATTTGAGAGGATATTTGGTGCAGATCGTATATCGATGGATGCAATGAATTACTGCTCCACCGTACAGGTGTCTCCCCCCTCGTCGACCACCTTCTAAGACGGCAAATAGAAAGGATGTGCCAATAGGGAAGATACAATGGTAGAGTGAACAGGGTACAGCATCGTTGTGTGAAACACATAGGGGGGTCGTACTTTTCCGCTGGGGAGGGGGGTCGTATTTGGTCGTTGGGAGAGAGGGGGGTCGTATGTGCCTTTGAGAGAAATTTGCTGCGTTGGGAAAAAATTTTCCCCGGTTGTTGACTTTTCGCGTGATTTTGCCTGTTCATGTGTACTGTATACCCCCCCCCCCTCCCTGCTCGACAGCAAAACTTTTGGAGAAAATAGGAAAACTCTCGGTGAATTCCGGAAAAAGTAGGTAGGAAGTTGAGGATAATTTAAGAGTTTCTCCCTCTTACATGGGCTATGTACCCCCCCCCCCCTCGACGGAAAATTTTTTGGTGAAAAACTGGACTGGAAAATGGGGGAAATTGGTAGGTAGCTGCTTGGGGAAGGGGGGGGGGGTCGTACCGAGACCCTCATTTAGGTGGAGGGTCGTACTGACACCACCATTTCACACATCACGATGCT